GCTTAAACACTCTTTCTTAGTGTTCTTTATAATTAACCAATTTATTCAGGGAAAATGATTTAAAAGAGAAATATAACCTATCTGTTTTTTTTTTGTAACACACAACCTATCTGGTCTACAAACAACTTTTCCTGATTGAAATAGTTTATATTTCATGTTTTGTTAGACAGCTTCATCTTCATGCACACCAAGTATTGCCAAACAAAATTAGGTGGTCCAGTTTTTAGAGTGAATCTATATATATGTACATAGAAACTCTGCGGAGAACAAATATATATGAAGTGTAAGACCCACAACTTAAATCATATTAAAAATCTTATTTTGTTTTGTATGAATTGTCACTATTCTGCAGTAGTTTGTGCCTTTATGATCCATTCATGGTCCCTTCTTTCACTATCAATTTTTCCCACCCTTCATTTTCGTGTTGTAAAACCAAGGTGTGTGGATGGGTCCAAATCTATCTATCGTACGTGTAGTTTGTTTGTTTTTACGCTAGTTTTAATATATACTATAAAGATTTCTGAAGTTTTATCATAGGGAGAGATTTTTAAGATCAGGAGTTTGAACCGACGACGATGAAGAAATCACTTATTTTAACATACTCATCAGGGCTGGTACGTGGCATAAGCCGCTGATTAAGACTTGATTAAGACACATAGATTGTGTGGAAAACAGTTCCATTATATATCACTAGTATTATTTGTTATGAAAACATACATTTTGTCTATTTTGACTTGAAATAGTAGACATATTTGGCAATGTTGGACTGATTCTTATCTCTGGTCTGAGAGATCACAGTTCCAAAATCTGGAATTTCTTAAAATTGACTCAGACACCAGTATAATATAATTAGCATGGACCATCTATAGCAATTATCTCTACTTTACTAATTATGTAATTTTTCATGAAGTAAAAATATTTTAGCTACTGTTGTGCTGCTTAACTAGTTTTATATCAAATCACAGACTACTATCTAGCATATTTGCCAGCAGTTTTACATTGCAGCGATCAGGAAAAAATATTCGTAAGCGAAGTACTTCCTTGCTGTGCAACGTCTTAAAGTCTAGTTTCAAGCAAAGGAACGACATGTCTTTAGATGAAGCACAAAGATCAACATATTTTTCAAATCAATTAACTTTCAACGATACAGTTATTATCGCCACGCAATATTTAACAGTCATAACATTTTAATCCTTCTATAAGAGAAAAAGGTCTTTACATATTGTTCAACTTCATTCTTAAAATATTACTACTGTAAAAATCGGCTATCATATGGTTAACCAACGTTTTATGAATTGTAATTTGTAACTGAATATAATTCGCTTGTGGTTATCTTAATGTCATGTTCTTTAAACTCAATTTATCTACGCTATTTACAAATCAAAGTCCACCATCCGACTTATGATTATAGCCTGCAACCAGTCCGGTACAGAATACGTTACAAAACGAGCAAACCTTTTATTAATATTAATGATGTTAGAACATTTTGAGTTTCACCTCTGTCTCCCCGTCATATATTTGGTTTAATGAGAAACAATACGAATCCATTATTAACTAACTGTAGTTAGTTCAACTACGTAGAAGAGGACTTGTTAAGCCATATTAAAAAATGGTATAACTGAACCAATATATGTAAAAGAATAAGAGTACCTGTATTAAAGCTCAAGACCAAGCCCAAGACAAACCAAACCAGAAGCCCAACATGTATTATAAACCCATGTGTATTTCTTGCAAGTAGACTAGGTATAAATGTGATTGTAATGTTTCTGAACTAGGCAACTTTGCTGCCGTTAAAGGCAGCCTCTCTTCTCCTTAATGAAATATCAATTTACATTATTGTGTTCTTGGTGACAATCTAAATTTCATCTTCTCTTTATTTTCTAGCTTATCAGTAAAGCTCTTTAGAGCTATTAGTCTTTCTCTTATCTATTTCAATAAAAGCTCATTTGAGCAAATCTACTCTTGTTCTTGAAACCTTCACACTGGACGTAAGCGACAAAAGGGCCGCTGGTTTCAGTTTTCTCTACAGACTACAGACATACGTACCCACCGGAATTAGCCCTAATCCTAATTTTAAAAATAATTTATTAGCTTTTAAAATATTAAATCAGACTCTATAATACATGAACATGAACTTCTCTGCATGTTGGTCTAGTTGAAATAAATAAAGCTGCAAATATCCTTTGTATACTAAACTCTATAATGCATAAACCATCAACCATATGTGAAGATACAAAGTTAACGAAAGTGGTCAACGATCATAATTTCACTTTTTTCTTCGAAGCACTCTTAGAGCATTTAACTATTCCCTAAACATCCAATTTAGTTTACCAAAATTATATTTATCGTTAAAAGAGTTTGAAAAAAAGAAAAAAGGAAAAAAAAATAAAAAAAAGAGTGAAATGATCAGAAGGTAAGGACAATATAGAAAGCTATATGCTCCGTGATTGGATCCCAAAGGGTTTCTCTTCTCTGTCCTTTTGCAAAGAATCTTCTCATCATTTTACTGTTAAGAAATTAATTAAGTTTCTCTGTCTAATAATATTTTCTCGTAACTATTTATACGAATCCACTAAAAACGTATCTCATATATAACTCCAACTATGAATTATATACAGACACATGTATTCATGTCATTCCAAGTGGCAGTACAGTGGTCGTACATATAGAAAAGGACATGGAGATGATATATACGTCTCTTTTGATGAATGTGTATTTTCGTAAAGTATTCTCTCTTTCTCTCTTTGATATGGGGTGATTTTTAAAGTAGGAAAATGTTGGAACATATGCCAGATATCGTATTTTTGTGGGGTTTAGGATGGAGACAGGGAATTTCATATATACATATATAACATTATTATAACTTTTAGAAAGTATTATGACATTTGTCTTAAGTCTATTATCTTTTAAAATATTTACAGTCATGAGTCATATGTGTAACTAAAAATAGGTCGCTGAAATTCCATATATACCGAATATTTTCCAAAAATCACGAGTTGAACTGTATGTGAGATTTAAATCCAGACAATTTCAAAACACAGCCGAGAATACTTAGAGAAATTCTAGACTTTCTATCGTTTATAAAATTATTTTGATGAACTCCTAAATGATCAAATCTCGTTAAATTACTATACTTTCAAACTTACTAATTACCAGTTTGGCCACATTTACTTCGTATATATTGACCTTATTGAAGAGTTACCATATGCTTGTTCCACGCCTGCCAAATTACTCTTTTTTTTTACCTGCCAAATTACTTGTGTTGCTGCAACTATTCAGGTTAATAGTTGCAGCATTGTTTTCCATTAGATAAATATATACAATTGTCTGATGAAATAGTGAGAGAGCGCAGCAATAGTCTAAACAAACTTTAAGTTTTAGCATTAATTAGGGCTAGATTTTACCTTTTCCAAATAATCTAGTGTTTCGATAAACAATCTTAAAGTACAATGTCCGTAAGAGATCATTCCAGAACATGTGAATAACTATGGGAAAATTTCAATTATACCACTTTGGTGATACCACTTTTCATGTTTACCATCAACAAATGAACATTTTCAAAAATACACATTTTATTAAAGGATAAAAGACTCTTATATCCTTGTTTTTTATATATATACATAAAATAAATATTAAATAAAATATTAAGCATAAACCCTAAAACATCAATTCTAAACTCTAGGCCCTAAAAAGTAAATCCTAAACCCTAAAAATCAAACCTAAACCTTAAAATATCAATTCTTAACCTTAAACCCTAAACTCTAAACCCTAAAAAGTAAACCCTAAACCCTAAAAATCAACACTAAACCCTAAACTATCAATCCTAAACCCAAAACCCTAAACCCTAAATTCTAATAGGATTTTGACTATTAAAATTTTAAGGGTAAAGTTGGTTAGTGTAAAATTGAAAAGTGGTATCCTGAAAGTGTTATTTCTGGCAATTTCCCAATAACTATGTGTACCGGAAATTGTACTTTTTACTGTAAGGAGAAAGTGAAGACAAAGGCAAAAAAGTTGAGCACAGTCAGGCGAAACAGAAAACGGGCTAGTAGTCTTTCCTTCACATGGTATTGGTCGGATGCACTATCCTTTTACTTTCTCGGTATCTTTTTTTTTTTTTTTTTTTGGACAACACTTTCTCGGTATCTAAAAAATACATTTTCTAGTATTTTAACACATTGACAAAACACATTAAATCATTATTATAAATTTATATTTTTATATTTAATAATTTAAAATCAATTTTGGTTAATAGTAGTAATTATAAACTCGATTATCTTTTTTGAAATTACAATTTTTGCATATGAAACATAAAACATCTATTAATGTGAAACATTTGTTTTATAAACACATCTCTGTTAATAAAACGGAATGAGTTTGTTTATCGTGTTTTTGGATAATTTTATCCTATGCAATTTTATAAGCTTTAATTATAAAATAAGTAGGAGGATGTAAAAAGGTCAAACAAAATAAACCATTGCTGGTTTGTATGTTAAGGAACAAACATTTGTACTCTGTTACCAATTTTTTTTATTCTACAATCAGCATTGCAATTTCTTTAATCAATATATAGTGATGTTTGAAAGTACTTTAGCATTAATGTTGACTGTAAGGAAAATATGGAATTTACAGAGAAAAGTGACAATATTCAAATCAAAAGCCCTTGAATCACTCTCACTTCCTCTGTAATCCATGAGACCAAAATGCTCATTTGTCTTATTTACATTTCCTGTCTTGAACTTGGATTGGAACCCGGGATGACTCGGTGGAACGACTCACCCACTTTTAAACCACCATCTCCTTCGTCAGTCTCTACTCAGTGAGTAACTCGCCACCCAATATAAACCCATTGATATAATTATATATCTAATAAAAATAAAAAAGGTGGCCGAAGTTGATTAAAATTAGCACAACCCGAGATGGTGGTAACTCAGCCGAGTTTATTCAAAATTATGTCTCTTACTTCACAGCAATCAAAATCGTACCGAACCAAACCGGGTCAGAAACCGACACTCTTCACCGTCGATCTTAAAACAATCACCAGACGGCTTTCTCCACGACGCCATGAAGCAACGGTCGAGATTCGATCAAAAGATCAACCTTGCTTTTAATCCCTACGTGGCATTTCTGAAAATCATCGGGACAAGTACTACACCGGTTCGACCGGGAAATAAACCGGATAGCTTCCTCGAAAACCGATTCTTCGCAAGGGATAACCAGCGGTCCCTGGTTAACGAAACCGAACTCCTCCTCAGCTTGGACAAGGAGATTACTTAAGATCGGATGGTTCAGGTACGACGCGCGCACCACGAATCTCTTGCAACCGCTACCCACGCATACCGCCACGTGTCCGGATGGAACATCCGACGGTACGCAACGGCTGGCTGAAGATAACTGTGCTTTGTTTCTCCATCGACGGAGCATTTGCCTGAGCCTCACAATGTGGCGGATCTTGCTGCATTTTCCGACACCTCCGGACATTGTTGTCACTTTCTTTCTTCTGTTTTGGTCAAAGTTGAAGTTGAAAAAGAGGGAACATTCAAGTGCTGTTTTTTTTCTTCTCACGAGAAAGCAGGTGGAGGGATTTGAGCATTTAGGGAGAGACGAAGTTTAAATAGTGAAGGGAGTACAACAATGCCATCAAGTTTTTGAGATAATTACGAGATTGTCCTCTCTGTTTTTGTTTTGTTTATAATTATGGTTCATATTAAAAGCCGTTGTTTTGATAATTGTGTTTATGGACAGATTATGGGAATAAATACTTGGCCCTTAATTTATATACAAGATAAGATTCGTAGTTTTTATGTATCTATCACTTTGTTGATTATACAGTAAACATGAAAAGACATTTAACTTTGTTGGCAAAAAAACAAAAGGCACTAACTCTGTTGACGAAAAGACAATTTAAATTTGAATAATCTTTTCATAAAAATGTTGCTAAGATCAAGTAGAATAAAATTAAACTCTTGGTTTTATCTTGGTTTAACTTTTAAGTATCTTTATAAAGTTTGGTTTCAGAGGAAAATTTGAAAGAAATGAAATCAGCCACATGGATAGCAGCCAGCAGGAATTATTAAGATTATTAATTTATGTTTATGATAAGCAAAAGGACCATTGTATAAGCTTCTCTCCCACCACTAGCGGTTAAATGAGAACCGAAGATGCTTCTTTCTGTATCCCCAAACAACTTAATTTTTTATATGTTTCTTAACTTAAATTGAATTAATATATCACGACGTACCAAGGCACTAGTTTTTTGTAGTGTGGAATGTGTCCATGCCCCCATGTGCAACGATGTCCCATCTCGATTTTTTTTTGTATCTTGTTTTTGAAAAGTATTCTCACAACAAGCAACCCAACAAAATATGCAAAACTAATCATTATATCTTAAATTTAAAATGAATCATAAAATATTGAACTTCATAATATGAAATTGTTACTCTCGGTCTAATATGATGAGCCTAGCTAGCTCTCCAAACTCGTTACATCAATAAATTCTATGATTGACTTTTTTTTCTGATCAAAAATTCTATGATTCACTTTTTGTTTCTGATAAAAAATTCTATGATTGACATCGTTATATTTCACTACGTAGAAATTAAAACAGAAAACACGCACACGCCTCTCTTATCAAATTACTTGAATATACATGTTCGTATTTTATGTAAATATTTTTTGAATTAATCTGAAAAAACTCAGATTTATGGAAACATTAAGATTAATCCCCTGACGAAGGTGTAGCAACCATTTCTCTTAGAATCCAAAGTATAACATCATATCAGCGTGGCCAGACATGTTTAATATCGTAATCTTGAAAGCCTTTCTTCGACCTATATACCATTAAACCATCCTTGTATAAAAAAAATTGGTAAATATTTGCAACAAATAATTTTCTCAAAAAAAAAAATTGCAACAAATAATAATGCTTTGCAACTATAATGGTAAGTAGAAGTAGAAATAAAACATAGAAATATTTAAAATAAATGTACGTTGGTTAACCAAGTGCATGATATGGGGGGCTTGGGTGCTTCCCCCTCATGCGGTACGCACGTATCCCACTTGTTGAATTTAAGGATCGTCCAGTCTATTTTCAACTTTCCTTCTTATAACCAAATCTTATTTGCCTCTGCGTACTTCATTATTGCTACTATAATAATTGCATGACCAATCCATCTACATACTATGCATCGGCATTGTAGTGTCTCTTTCTGCCCTCGTCCACCATATTGCACATATGTTTACATATATGCAATAACAGCTTATCACTACTTATAAACTATCGCCTTAAGTATTCTTAATTACTTTCATTATGAGCCGTGATTAGCTATAATAAACAGAGGGGGGATGAACCTAATTGGAAATCTTAGTTTTCCTCTTATCTTCCAAGCTAGAAATTAACTAATCATAGCTTTCACGGATCATAAGGCATTGATTATTATCAATTAGAAATAAAATTGAGGTCGCTATCTTACCCTCTAAAAATATAATAAAACAAATAGAAAATTTCTATAAATTATGACTTAACACATAGAAATAGAACTAAGTTTAAGTACGTAAGAAAAAAAATGACTTTCAGTTTGCAGCTGTGTACTTTATTAAATTTTAATAACTACTCCCTCTGTTCCTAAAATATCTATATTCTAGTTTTTGCACACTTTTTAATAAAACATAATAAATTTACATAGTTTTTTGTATTTATCTTTTTTCTATAATTTTAAACCAATCAAAAAGTAATTAGTGCAATTAATTTTTTTGAAATTTATAATTATTTAATAAAAAATACATTGAAAATGTAAAAAATAGATCTTTTATAAACAAATTTTTTATCTAGAATATGTATCTTTAAGGAACGGATGGAGGATTTAATTTAGGATTAAAAGCGTGAATAAAGGAGAAATCATTAATTGTGGTCGTGTGTGTGGTCATAGCTGCCACATGCCATGTTTATGTTGGTAAGAAGCTTTAAGAGACATACCAATCAGGCAATCACTAAGGCACTAATCAGGATTATGCTTTGTATTTAGCAGATATCTTTCCGGCGTTTTCTGACAGCTTCTAAAGTCTCGCCACGCCATCCCTTAGATATTTGTTTGAAAAATAAGAAACTGTGATTTTGTTGGTTATTCTATCAGTTTGTGTAACACTAGATTTGATTACATCACGGGACGTATAATGTCAGCAAAACAGGCCAAAAGTTAAAAAGTCATTTTATACCGTAAACAGAAGGAGATGAAAAAAGCAGAGAACACAGCCTTGCAAACGCTATTATATAAATAAGGATAATACTTTTCGTCTCTAAACTAGTCTTACGTATTAATATTATTTTTCAGGGTGAAGAATTTTTTTAATATATACTACTTTATAACCAAGAAATTACTTCCCCACTAGAATCAGTCACTAAAATATAATGTAATAATTACATTTCCTCTATTATACAGCAAAATATTAAGATTTACTCGTAAGTTGTTGATTAAAGGTGGGTATTGTGAAAACTCAGAGAAACCTTGAAGAAGAAGATAACTTTAATACTTTTTATTAACTTTCAACTTAGAACTTCTGAATACAACGTGATAAGGTTATATACAAGTGTTTGTCCTTATCTCTTAGCACACCTCAGCATAAGCTGAGACACGCGAATCTATTCGAAAAGATCCCATTGTGAGCTGTCTTTCTAGCCGTTTCAGTCTTGTGAGGTACACACCTTTTGTGTTGAACGTTGAATTCCTTTGTCGTGTCTGAGGAAGAGGAAGACCTCTGTTTCGTGGGCTTTGAACTGATCTCTGTATTGGGCTTCTCATGCTTATCTCGAAGCCCATTATCACCTTTATGTTGATCAGCCTCAATACCTTTAATATACCCCCTCAAACTTGGTGTTGGAGGAAAGGAAACACCAAGTTTGGACCTCAGCTTGAAGAATGGTTCCTGCGGGAGAGACTTAGTGAACACATCAGCCAGCTGTAGTGATGCAGGAATATGTTTAACCTCTAACGCCTTGAGAGCTACTCTTTCACGCACATAGTGGTAATCCACATCAAAATGTTTTGTTCTCTTGTGGAACATGGGATTAGCTGAGAGACATACTGCAGAGAGATTGTCGCACATAAGGAGCGGAGTAATCTGTTGTTGCAGACCCATAGCCTTAAGTAGATTCTGTAACCACATGACTTCAGAAGCAGCAAGTGACATTGTCTGATATTCTGCCTCTGTTGAAGACTTGGAGACAGTATCATGTCTTTTTGAAGACCACGAAATCAAATTGGTGCCAAGTAAAGTACAAAGACCTCCTGTAGAACGTCTGGTTTGATGGCATCCTGCCCAATCACTGTCACTATAACACAAGAGTGTTGAATCCGTGTCTGCAACAATACTCATTCCCATAGATAATGTGCCTTTCACATACCTCAAGATGCGTTTCAGAAGGTGAAAATCAGATAAACTGGGACAGTGCATACGTTGACATATATAGTTCACAGAGAATTGCAAGTCTGGTCTAGTAAGGGTAAGATACTGAAGCTTACCAGCAATGCTTCGAAAATATGTTGGATCAGGAAAAACTTCATCTTGACCTGCAATCTGATCGAGTTTTAACGGCAGAGGTGTTGGCATCGGTGCACACTCAGCCATGCCAGCAGTAACCAGAAGATCATAAGCATATTTTTCTTGGTTGAGGAAGAGACCTTCTGAACAATGGTGAACTTGAATACCAAGAAAATAATGGATAGATCCCATATCCTTCATACGAAACTGAAAACTCAGAGAAACCTTGAAGAAGAAGATAACTTTAATACTTTTTATTAACTTTCAACTTAGAACTTCTGAATACAACGTGATAAGGTTATATACAAGTGTTTGTCCTTATCTATTAGCACACCTCAGCATAAGCTGAGACACGCGAATCTATTCGAAAAGATCCCATTGTGAGCTGTCTTTCTAGCCGTTTCAGTCTTGTGAGGTACACATCTTTTGTGTTGAACGTTGAATTCCTTTGTCGTGTCTGAGGAAGAGGAAGACCTCTGTTTCGTGGGCTTTGAACTGATCTCTGTATTGGGCTTCTCATGCTTATCTCGAAGCCCATTATCACCTTTATGTTGATCAGCCTCAATACCTTTAATAGGTATATATCGGATATCCGAAAATTGATAAGACAAAAGGTTGAAACACAATGTTAAAAAGAAAATGAAATAACGAAAGCAGAGGATAACAGCCTTGCATAGCAATTATACAAATAAACTTTTTTAGAATTGATTGTAGGAGTGGAGGAATAAAGTAGCCCCTGACGTATGTGATTTCAAATGTTATCGGGGAAATGATTAGTGGTTTTGATTAAGTCGTGAAGTACGTCAATGGCAAGCCAGTTCAGAGAACAGCTCATGAACATTTAGTGTATGAAAAGTGAAAACTAATATACATTTCAGAAGGCTTCATTTGAATCTGATTTCAATAATTTATTAATCATTAGGCCTCCCATTATCCCTTTAGTATTTTAAAAGACATATTTGATGATTTCTGATCACCTGGTCAATTACTTTTTATAAAAAAAAAGA